TATTGTGGTTTCTCTCATTTGGCTCCTTTAAATTGATGGTAAGACAGGTCAATAAATGAATATATTTACTGTGTTCTATAGTTTTTTTTTTTTTTAAATAACCTATTTATATCTTTTCCAAATACTGTAAATAGAAAGTTTCCTGAGGGCAAGGACTATGCCTTTAGCCCTGTTCTGGAATGAATTTTGCTCCTTCCAAAATGATATATTCAGTCTCTAATACCTGTGATTGTAACCTTATCTGGAAATTGGTCTTCAAAAATATAATCAAGTTAAGGTAAGTGAATGCTGAATTAAGGTGGTCCCAAATCCATTGACTGGCTTCCTTAACAAGAAGAAGGAAATTCAGATAGAGAGCCACAGGGACAGTAACAAAAGAAGTAGAGATTAGAGTGAAAAACAGTGAAGGATTTCTGGCATCATGATTCCTAGAAGCCAAGAAGAGGCAAGGCAAGATATTTTCCTACAGCCTTCAGGCAGAACAGAGTCCTAAAACACCTTGACTTTGGACTTTTAGCCTCCAGAACTGAGAAAAGTAAATTTCTGTTGTTCTCACTCACCCTTGTTATGGCAGCCCCAGGAAACTGACACAGGGCCTTTGCATTTCTAGGGCAGAGGATGCTGGTGGCAGATGCTCAGTAACTCTCTGGGGTGTGTCTAGGTGAATGACTAAGATATCAGAATCACATAATTAGCATTTATTTAGCTGATGGTGTGACACAGGGCAAAGAATTTCAAAAGGTAGGTTAAACTGCATAGATTTCCCTGGTGGGTATAAAACTCTAGACATTTACTCTATCTTTTCATTTTACCAGAGAAAAGAGTACAGGTTTGAAAAAAGAGAAAGGCTGGGTAAGAGGCGAGGCTCTCAGTGGCGAATCAGTAGATGTTACGCATGCAGGGTCCACTATCCCATTTCTCTCTTGGTGGTTGTGGGTCCCAAGGAACTGTAAGGTTCTTTCTCAGACAGGCAACCTAGCATTGTCCAGGACACTTCCAGTTCATTCTTGTAATTATGTCTCCTTTCACCTCCACAAGTCTGTAGACAGTAAATTATCATTTATGCTCAAGACAAAGAAAACCACCTGGCACTTTCCATCTCCCTCATTTTGATTCCCTCAGCCCTTTTCACCCCAGTCTAATTCCCACACATCTTTCAAATCTCATTGCACTCACAAGACTTCCCTTGGGTTTCCAGACCTTAAAGCAGTAGAGCATAAGGCACGCATGACCTTGAGTTTTATTTCTTTGTGTACACTTCACTTTTTCCAAAGCCTACACTTACAAAGCAAAATATACTCCCACAGCACACTGTACCCTGCAGTCAACTTTATAGGTGCATAATAAATATCCGCTGACTTAAAACAGTGAAAAGAAACAGCCCTAAATAAAACACTCCTGCCAGTAAGGGCTGGTTCCTCTGATGGAAAAACTGTATCTGTGCAAGTGCTGCATTTCTTTCTGGTAAGCATTTTCCGGAACATCTTTTTATACACTCAGAGTTACAGAGCTGTCAGCCAACTGAGGAATGTCAAAGCTGCAGCCTCCCACTTGTCGGCTCTGATTCCAAACCTCTTTCTTCTGGCTGGAGCAGCCAAATTATAGCTCAAAAGAAAAACATAATTATATTCCAAAAGGCCAGAGATAGTTGCTGAAAATATCCTAACTGTGAGCAAAACAACAACAAAAGATAAACCCGGATTACCCACGCTGCACCGCAAATTCAAAATATCCCAGGGACTATTATGAAATGATTTCACATTTGTTATCTTCTGTTTTTTAGTTTAAAATATTAAATCTTTGTCTGGTTGACTGACATGTACCGTTGAATGTATCATATATCCATATGCATTTACAATTATGTTGATTCCCTCCAGCACATACACGTACCCACGTTCCCATGTCCAAACTTAATGCAGATGGCCCTACCTTCCTTGGGCAGCTCCCCAATTAAGGAGCAGCATGAATTCATCAATACATATTTGCATATACCAGCAGCTTAGTGACACTCTTGCTGGCTTGTTTGCATTTCAGGTAAAGTATCATGTCATAATTATCCCTGGTGGTTAAAGTTCAAACAATTTCACCTGTCCAGAACATGAAAGAAAGAGCAGGAAGTGGCAGTCTCTAAGGAAGGAGCTACACTGTATGTAACACTTAATGAGCAAGGGAAGCATGGATTTCTCAGTTATGATCTTTTGATTATTCAGCCTCTAAAAGCTTCATTTCTTTCTGGGTTATCTCAAACAGCAAACTACAGACAATAACTTGGTGGGGACTGGGCAGGTTGGTTAGTGACAACAGGAAGACAGTACCAGACTAGTACATGCAGGAGGATGGGGCCATTTTTTGAGGAACCTGGAAGCCCTACGGAACAATTGCTTTTTGGAACATCACAGTATTCAGCAAAATCTATTGCTTATGTCTTGTCAACAAATAGTTGGGACCTTTGAAAAACACTAGAAGAATATTAAGCTACATATCCTATGGAAACCCTGTTTCTATTTCAGCACAGAGGAAGCAATTTCATGAAAGTGAGAATCCTAAAGTGGATTTACTTCCTCCTAGGAGCAACGTGCTTATGTTGCTTAACCATGTGTTAGACCTTCAATGAATTATAGCACTAACAACACATGAAAGCAAAGACATGGCTATGAGTCTTTACACAGCATGCTAAGTACACAGAGGTCTCTCATATATGATAAAGTCCATTCATTGCACAAATGCATAATGTTATATATGCATTTCTGAATTTGTCTACAGTATAAGATCTAAGTTAACCTAGTCACAACAAATTTAAAAATCAGGTTTCCACCTTAAAATTTGCCTACGTTCATACTGTTACCCACCCAAGTCTTGCTCTGCAAGTCTTAGTGTTACTAAAAAAATCACTCACCATTCTAGGCAACTGAACCCTGAGATATGAGTGTGTGTGTGTGTGTGTGTGTGTGTGTGTGTGTGTATACACACTCATGGTTTGTTCTGAAAGTGTGAGACAGCTGGCCAGTGATGTAGCTTGACATAGTTCATCAACTTTTCAAGTTCTGAAATAGATTTTGTGTTGTGGTATAAGATATCAAAGCAAGAATAAAACCAAGCCAAACACAGGAAAGCAAAATAGAAAAATTTCAGATTAGATCCAGCCGCCCCTTCTTGCTGGTTTCAAATGGGATCAGAAATGTTTACAAACACTTCACTCACTGTTGAATCACCTGATTCTTTAAAAGATCACAGCTTTTCATTTACTTTTTTGGTGAAACACATAGTTATTTTTAGATAAGACTCTGCCAGCTTCTAAACTACAGAGGCAAAAGGTGAGGTCATGTTATGATTTCAAAATTTTTGGAGATTGTGTGAGTATGTTTAGTCAAATGCAATTGCTCAAGATACCTGAGATGCATGTAGGTCAAGAATCAATAGACCCTGGATAACAGTTCTCCTCTGGTAAAGACTGCGATGCTGGCCACTCTCATTTACCCTTTCTCTTGAGCAACGGGCAGTTATACTCCCCATTATATAGGGAGCCTCCTCCTAGTTTGGTGGGGCCATGTGGCTGAGTTCCAGCTAATGAAATAAGAGTAGAAATCATGTACTTTCTAGAACAGGGCCACAGAAACATTCCTGACATGATCTTTCAAATACTTCTGCCAGCTGAAGGGAAAAATCTCTTAGGCTTTACATCACTGGCTTTCCAACCTTTGGGCTGAGGGTCTCGTACACTCTTAAATTCACTGAGGACCTCAAGAACTTTTTGTTTCTGTGGGTCATGTCTATTGATACTTACTAATAAAACTTTAGACTACTAATTCCTTAAAAATATGAACACTCTCAATCCTACATACTAATATAAATACTACATTTTTATGAAAATTAATCACAAAGAAAAAAATGGTAAAAGTGGCAGTTTTTTCCATTTTTGCAAAACTCTTCATGTCTAACTTCAGAGAAGACAGTTGGATTCTCATGTCTGCTTCTATATCTTACCTATTATGTGGTTTTGACTGAGGAATGTGAAGAAAAATCTAGCACTCTTCACAGATACACCACTGAAAAAGGGAAGACTTTATGGAAATTGTCGATAATGGTCTCAGGAACTCCAGGGTTTGGATTAGACTTTGAGAACCATTGATTTAGAGAGAGTTACAGTCACAGAATGTAAGTATTCCTCATTTGTGAAGGACATATAGAACATTTCTCAACCAGGAACACACACACTGGGTGTTTGTCATGCAAATGAGAAATGGTCTTTGAGTACAGTAAAATGCTAAGGTTTGGGGACTTGTGTGTTATTGCACTTAGCCTTATTCTGATTAAAACACTAACTCATGTAGTGACAAACCCAGGCCAGGCCTCGTTAAGTACTTACCATACACTAACCCACTCAGTTCTCAGAGCAAACCTGTCTGGTGGCTGCTTTACAGTCACCATTTTAGAGATGAAGAAACTGAGACATAGAGAGATTGAGTGAATTGTTCATGGTCATACCACAAGCAAAACAACCGAATTCTGGAGTTTTACTGTAAATTACTTCTCTACACTGCCTGCTGACTTAACCTAGATATTTCTCACGATTATCTTACACCTTATACTCCAGGCAAGCAACACAGACAAGACTGGACAGCAGAGACTTGCCCTGAAGATTTCCATGCTTAAGATATGTTCATGGGGAGCAACTAATTTTAGATTTCCCAGACAAGAAAAGATGGGAGTTGGGAAGGAATAAATAGGTGGAAAGAAGTTATCAAAGACTATGGAAGAGAGGTGGCGGAAGGGTCATAAGAAGGTGTGATAGATAGAAGTCTATATTTTCTCCATGGCTCTGCCACCTGGAGTGTCACTCCCCTGATGGCGTTACATGATGTCGTGTTATGTGATTATGTTACATGGTAAAAGAGATTTTGCAGATGTGATTAACGATGCTATTGGCCTTAAGATAGAAAAATTATCTACATGAATAATTGTGATCTCTTTAAAAGCATAGATTTTTCTCTGCCTGGCAGCTGAAGAAGTCAGAAAGATTCAATCTGTGAAAGACACAGTGCTCCACGGAGGCCTGGGAGATTGAGGAAGCTGCCATGTGTGGACCATGAGCAGCATGGAGGAGTGAAGAGCAGGCCCCAGGTGACAGCCAGCAAGGCAATCACAGTGTCGACTCTACAACCACACAGAACCAAATTCAACCAACAATATGAATAGGAATGGACTTGCATCTTCCTGAACCCTCCAGATAAACACCCAACCTAATCCATATCGATTGATTTGGGCCGTGTGGTGCCCTCAGCAGAAAGCCTGACTAAATCTGCCTGAGTTTCTGATTGAGCTAATACGTGAGTTATGTTTTACATTGCTTTGTTAGTGGTAAGTTGTTACACAGCAATAGAAAATTAGCAGAGGGTAACCCGTGCTTAAGCGAGATGTGATTAGCCACGCAGGACTTGCATTGTAAGTCCTTGATCCTGGTCACTAATGGCAAATAACCCTAAATACTAGTAAGTTCTCCTACACAATTAAAAAGAAATAAATAAAGGAAACTCAAACCACCCATTTCCTTCAAAATATTTTCAATCTATCACTGTTGATGTTAAGTTAGTAACCCAGTTCAATATGATAAACCACATAGAAGGCAATGAATTTCTTAAGGCAATATTTTTAATTAAAAACTCGAAAGTCCTACAATCCATTAACCTCTCTCAAAATCTTTCTTACTAGAAAGTCTCCAGAGATGAACAGTACACTCATGCATAGATCTAGAAAAATGTGCACAGCAGATTCCCAGGGTTTTATTTTTTGTATCAATACAAATACAGTAAACTGTATCAATACAATTATTTTTATATATCACTATTTTAAACTAGTAGCCTACTTACAATAAGACAAAAAGTGCTGGACATAGTAGCATGTGCTGGAATCTCAGCACTCTGGGAGGTTGAGGCAGGAGAGTTGCAAGTTCAAGCCCTACTTGGACAACTTAGAGACTTAGCAAGACCCTGTCTCAAAATAAAACATGTTAAAAAGAGGCTAGTGCTGTAGCTCAATAGGGAAGACCGGGCTCACTCTAAAGAAGAAGGAGGAGGAGGCAGAGGAGGAGAAGAAGGAGGAGGAGGCAGAGAAAGAGAAGGAGGAGGAGGCAGAGAAGGAGAAGGAGGAGGAGGCAGAGAAGGAGAAGGAGGAGGAGCAGAGGGAAAAGGAAGAGAAGGAAGAGGAGGAGAAGGAGGAAGAGAAGGAAGACGGGATGAGAAGGAAGGTAAAGAAAAATGAGATTAAAATACAGGAGAAAAGTCAGAATTCCTGTCCTATACTGCTGCTACACGTGGGTTTGGTGGGTGTCCTCAGGGTACATGGATAAGCGGGAAGAAGCAGGCTCCTAGGACTCTTCCCGCAAGCCCTTTTGTGGGTTCTGTCACTCAGTATAGTTGGGGTATGCTGCTGTGTCAGAGAATCCCCAAACCTTGGTGACTCCCACCAACAAACACCTATTTTTCCCCTCATGCGACATGCCATCTGCTGCACAGCTGGGTTCTCTGCTCCATGCCTGGTCCTCGGGGGCTACACTGGCAGAAGCCGCCATCTTGAATGTTGCTGAGTGCCATAGACAGAGGAAAAGAGAGCCTTAAAGGGTCTTGCATAGGGGGGCTAGTGTCCTGGCCTGGGAGTAACTCACATTAATTTCTGTCATACTTCACTAGGCAGGACAGTCACACAGCCCCTCAGTCCCACTCACCCACAGGAAGGCTGGGTTGCACGTGTATCATCGCTTGGCGGTGCATAAACAAGATCTCCTAAACAATAATGGTTACCATGGAGGTTACTGTCAATGGTATGATGCAGGGTGTCCTACCATGATCAGTGGTGCATGAATCCCAGATGATGGATGGTGGGCATCAAGCCTCTCAATGGAGATAGAAATCATATCAAAGCACAGTTAGGTAAACATCATACTAAACAGCATACACAGCCTCAGGATGTGGCTTTGTCTTGGTTAATGCAGAGATATTAATGTTCCTCCAGGAACAGGACTCCAGGGCCAGGAGGGAAAAGTGCATGGGAGAGCCTGATGGCCGAGCAAAATTGTGTTTTGCTGCGAAGTGCCTGCTCTGTCTGAAGGCGGATGTAGAGAGAGACTGCTGGCTTTCAGTACATTGACTGCCATATGAGATAGACTACTAGACACATTTTTTTTTTAAAAGAGAAACTAGAAATCCAAGTTTGTTTGTAAAATCTCCAAAACTAAAAATACTCTGAAGACAAGGAGCAAACCAGGCAAAGCGTGTCTGTCAGCCAGATGTGGCCTGTGGGCTCTGATTTGTGGAGAAAGTCTATGTTGCTATTTCTAGTCAGCAGTCATGACAATGCACAGAGTAGAAGATAGTGGTGATGTCCCCACGGGGGATGGCTACTGAACATGTGGATTCACACTACTCTGACAAGGCGAGTGATTGGTACAGCCCTTTGGTCAACCTCAAGTCTGACAGCACTGCTGAAGATGTTCAAGTTCTAGTGGAGCCAAACTCTTACCAAGAACACTCTATGGAGGGAGAATCTAAACTCCATAAGGTCAAGGCCGTGGCTTGTTCGTGCAAACCTGCACCCCCAGCATCCTAAGCAAGTCTTTGCAGATGGAAGAGTCTCAATAAATATGCGTTAAAGCAATGTGGGGGTTTTCTGGAAGTAATTCAAACCTTTTTCTGCAGCAAAAGAACATGGATAATAGCCTTTTCATTCACCCAGAGACACCAAACATTTTTCTTCTTAAGGACATCCTACTCAAAATTGCTTATTTTGAGCAGAATTCAGTGCTAATCAGCAGTACTATGACAACACAGTGGTTCTTTTCCAATAGACATCATTTCCACAATGGCACATTAGGCTGGTTCACATTGTCGCCAAGGAGTCAGGATGGGTGGGAGGTGGCAGAATGCCCCCTCCCATCATCTGCGTGTGGCAAGGACGTGGCGCTGAGAGATGTCTGGCTAAGGGAGAACTGGGAGACAGGTCTAGAAGGCTGAAGGATGAAGCTCCAGATGAGGCTGGACCACACACCTGTGAGCAGACAGGCGAGGGGAGTGTCAATGAATGCTGGCACGGAGATGTGACAGCAGCTTCTGAGGTCTCGCAGAAAGCAGACACAATCCCAGGGAAAGGAAGGAAACCCTGAGTTAACCCTGAACTGAGAAAGACAGAGATGTCACCACTGGGCAGACTAGAAGCTTGAGAGGGAAACTGAATTCAATTAGAAAGACAGCAGAGGGGCTACTCCACTTCCAGCTTTAGACTGGCACGCACATCCTCAGTAGGATTGCTGTAGGCCAGGTTCTCCTAGAAGCAGACTCCCAGCCAGCTGAGGATGCCATGGGTGTGCAGAGTTGGTGGAGATGGTGGTGTCTCATTATGGCCTCACTTGGCCCCAAGGGGTGCTCAGTGGAGTGGGCCCTTCACAGTTACCCCAGACCGGAATAGAAGAGCTGAACTTTTAGACCCTGTGTTACCCAGTCATTGGATGCTGACCTTGGACAAAGCAGGTGGGCAGCATATGGTAATGTCCACTGGTTATCAATTGAGATAACTTTATACACCATGGGCACCGTAAGGGTGGTACATATAAGCACGATATAAATGCTAGTGCCATTTCTTCTTTCTCTCTATCCAGTCTTGTGCTAAAATTCTCTGATTCTGAGAATTTAAGGCATACCCTCGGTGCTCCCATTTCAGCAGTGAGATTTTTCCATGGCATTGCATACACTACTCGGATAGCCTGAGCACTGTGCAGACTGGGTGAAGTCAAGAACATGGTCTGGAGCAGCCTGAAGAAGAAAGTAGAATTCACAACGCAAATATGGGAAAAGGAACCGGAATCTTGCAAGTTACAAGATAGGAGCCTTCCATGTGGAAGCCTTTCCGCTATTTTGCATTTACTTTTTTCCCACCTCTGTGGTTTTGAGAGGTGTTTGACATTGAAAGGGTTTGGTGGGCAGACAAGGGTGGGAACTACTCATACCTCCGCCCCTCTTGGAGACGCTGGTGCGTGTCAGCCTCCTGAGAGGTCTTGCAAAAAAGAGACCTTATTGAGCTTTGTGAGTTGCAAGCTTACTGGAGTGGAGGTGAGAGCCTTCACCTCTCCTGGAAAGTCCATACAATTTCAAAGGAACTGTATGAGTGTAGCAAGTGGTTCCCTAAGTTGCTTTTGCTTTTCTAAGTGAATATTCCTTTTGATCATCAGCAACGACACAGTCCCTCATTAGACTATGCTTTTAAATCTTTGATGAGGAACCATAACTGAGGCTACTTTTCCAGCAATGAAAAGGGGGTCATGTCACGGCAAGAGCCCGAAGTAGGGGCCATTAAACAGGGAAATGGCTTTAAAATTTGATCTGAACCATAGGAAACAGCAGAGTCAGTTTGAGATTTTATTTTTTACTAAGATTCTGGAATTGCCTTTGGAACCAGCAGTAGCTGGAATGTCCAGCACACCTGGCCAGCGCCAGCTGCTGCACCTGTGGGTACTTTTGCACAGGCTGCATCACCCAAGGGGCTGCTCAGCCCGACCAACAGTGTGGTCCAGGGCCCTACGCAGAAGTGCAGAGAGGAACCGGGACGTGTGGCTCCCATCTGTGCTCTTAGCTGCATTGCCTACCCCTGACCTCAGTGTGTTCACCATTGTTCTTAAGATGGGTCGGTAACAACAAAGTGGTAAAATCATATTAAAACAAAAGCAAAAAGCACAGCCTTGAAAATAAAGCCACTTAAAAGAATGCACCATGGGGTAAATTGACACAAATAGTACGTGAACTCTGACCTGTCATACTGTTGATTCAGATGAAAGTTAGCATAGCTATTTCAAAGAGAATTCTACACATTTTTGCCATAAAATAGGACACTTTAAGTCCACACATCTGCATTCAGCAGTGTTCCTATTCAGTCCCTGGACCTTTCACTGGAGGCTCTGGGTATCTGATGGTGGTGTCTTAGCTGACAAAGCTGCCTGCTGTCCCAAGCCCCTCTGGTCTTCCCCACTGAAAGAAAGGCCAGAACACTGGCCCACATTCAAACAGCTGCTTTCTTTCCCATGCGCTTAGGCAAGGAGCGGCAGTGCTCTCCTCCCAGCCCCAGCCGGCACCTTGGGTGCAACTGGGACCCTGAGGTGCATGGCTTCCTTCACCCACGTGTCTGTGGTGGCCCCACGCACACATGAGTGTTTCCTCACCTCTACCGCTTTTTGTCCCAACAGCTGTTTTTGATTTTCAGCTCACCTTCTCTGAGCTGGAAGGTTCCTGCGGAAGTAAATCACTCCCCTCTTGGAAGAAGAGAAAATAAGCTCTAGTCAGGCCACCACTGAGGAACTCTGGTTGTTCCCAACTGTCGCTTCTCTTACGTGTGGCTAGCAGGGCAGGAGCAGGAGTACTTGAAACCCAGCGATTTTGAACCAGCAGCCTCAACTTCCTCACACAGTCTTTTACCAGCTTTGTCTTGAACGTCACTCTCCTCGGAGCCTTTTCCTTGGATGACATTTCTCAGAAGCAGTACAACAGCCCAAAGGTAGGAAGGTGCAGTGCAATTGATAACTTGGGGGAGAGGTGATTCCCCTTGGGTCAGCTGGAAATCCGAACAAGTCCCACAGAGGTAGGACTGCAAGTGGGCTGATTTTGTCAAACTTTAGCGACTACAGCAGAAGCACGGACACTGTGCAGGAGAAAAGAACTGATGTTGAGCTTCAGTGAAAGGCCAAGAAAGATGTTGGGCCCATCTGCTCCTCTAGATCGACACTGTTGACATTTACTTTTAATTGTGGCAAAAAAAAAAAAAAAAACCCATAAAATTTTTCCTTCCT